ATCTATGAGACGTGTTCCAAAAATTGAGTACTATTTTGTGAAGGGTTTTTATCAAAATCCACCAAATTAGCACATTTATATGACTGTGGAGTCCGACAAAGGGAATGCATGTGGTAACCCTGGACAATATCTGACTGATGGTGGAGTTAAAACCTCAAACGCGAAGAGTACTATGGCGAATCAGTTCTCGCCGGGTGTCCACGTCTAATAAGACACTAATGGCTTCGTTGCCGCGGCGGTTATGCTCGCCTCCAGTTGAAATGAGTGCCACGACGTTACGGAGGTACCGGAAGCATCCATAACGGTTTGCGTTTCTTAGCTGCCTTCATCCAGGGGAACCTGTTAGTATCCGTGTCGAAGCTATTACTTCTTTTGGGACCTTAGTAGGCAGGACAGCGAACGAATTTGTCGAGTTTGGGTGTAGGTTAATTAACTTATTCGACTGGCGCCATGTGGGAATATTATATGGTTTATAATTATAAAAGAAGGTTCGGAAGCACTCGAATTAATAAGGTATGTATTAACGTATGATTTGGTAAGCGATTCTAGTCAAAGCCAACGAATTTTGAAACACTAGTGGATTTTCACTGAAAATCAAACTTATTCCCAATCTGCACTAATAGGGAGACGTAACGTTTATTTCTGCAAAAATTAAAAAAGGTGGATTGCATTTAATAATTCAATTAGGGAACTTTAGTAGGCGATTCTGTATCTGGTCAAGAATTTATTTCAAGAAATTATTTTTCAATTTTTGTTTCAATAGTAATTGATTTTACACCCATTTTAATGAAGGTCAGTTCTCAAATTAACCATTTTGAGAAACAACAAATGTGGTTACCGACTAAAATTTAATTAAATATTTACATATTCTCGCGTAATGACTTTGAGGAGATAGTACTTATCCAACATATTCTAATCATAAAAGTTGAACTATTGACATTCACATTGTGAACGATCCCCAGTCTTAAACGGAACAAAATGGACATTCATTTCAATGGAAAAACTGCTTTGGTATCCGGAGCTGGACGAGGTGAGTCTATTTCTATGACCTGGTGCACTATCACTAATCATTTTTGTAGGCATTGGAAACGCTATAGCGAAACGATTGGCATTATGTGGTGCACAGGTCACCGCCCTAGATATAAACAGAGACAATTTAGGTAGGCACCCGTAAGTACGCAAATTTAGCCATAATTGAATATCAACTTCTAGAACGTCTGAGCGAAGAAGTTCCATCGGTCAAAACCATTTGCGTTGATTTATCCAATTGGTCAGAGACAAAAGAGGCGTTGAAGCACGTTGGCCAGATCGATTTGCTAGTAAATAACGCGGGAATTGCAATACTGGAACCCCTAGCAGATATTTCCGATGGAAATATTGATCGGTAAACTGCTATTTATCCAGCACGTTTCTTATGGTAGTACCTGCAGGTTGTTTTCCATCAACTTTAAAGCCGTGGTAAACTTGACGCAGATAGTAGCCCAAAGCTTACAGGATCGTAATGCTAGTGGGTCAATCGTAAATATTTCGTCGCAGACGTCCATGCGGGGTCTCAGAGAGCATGCGATTTATTCTTCGACCAAGGCGGCCGTTGACGCGTTCACGAGGGTGGCGGCTCTCGAATTAGGCGGGCAGAATGTCAGAATCAACTGTGTTAACCCCACTGTGGTCATGACGGAGTTAGGGCGCGAAGTATGGTCTGATCAGCGGGCAGCAGAGGAAATGAAAACGAAAATTCCTTTAAAAAGGTACCAATTTTTGTACAAGTATTCAAATAAAATTGCAACAATTAAAAATTTAAAAAAAATCGCATACTGTTTTAGGTTTGCAGAAGTAGACGAAGTAGTTGATGCAGTCCTGTTTTTGCTAAGCGATAAGGCCAACATGATCACTGGAACCTGTTTATCTGTCGATGGTGGATGTTTGGCAACTTTGTAATTTTTTGGCCGAATTAAGTCGTTTCGAGCACTGTCACTATATTAATAAACCGATACAACGAAATATCGAAGGATCCTCAGTATTACAATAACTTTTAACGATAATTTATTTTAATGTTACAAAATACATCAAATTCATGTCTTGGCCTTTGAGATAATGCTCTTAATCTTGTTTTGATCAAAATCCATGTGGTCGCCAAAAATAGATCAAATTCATGTTTTGATCATTGAGATAATGCTCTTGGTCTTTTTCCCAACGTTCTTGGTGCATAAATAACGATTTTGACATGTTTTGATCAAAATTCATGTGGTCGCCAAAAATAGATCAAATTCATGTTTTGGTCATTGAGATGATGCTCTTAGTCTTTTTCCCAACGATGTTGGTGCATAAATAACGATTTTGACATGTTTTGATCAAAATCCATGTGGTCGCCAGAAATGCATCAAATTTATGTCTTGAGCATTGAGATAATGCCCCTAGTCTTTTTCTCGACGATCTTGGTGCATAAATAACGATTTTGATTATTTTGATCAAAACCCATATGGCAATAATTTAACATTTTTGAATCACACACATGCGGTTATCAAATGTGCACGTGATGTACTCTTGCTGCATCAAGATAATGCGTTTGAAACCTTTTAAAACTCTAAATTCATGTATAAAGTGTAATTTTTGCTACATTTTGCTCTAAAACTTTCGACCTATACCACAGAGAAGAGTTATATTAAAGTGTTACACATCTAAGAGTCATAGGGAATAATCTAGCGGAAGTCCCAACCCGATACATGACCTAGGGAATGAAATATGTTGATTTCTATTATATTGAGCCCGTAGTTTTTCCTGTTCCCGATTCACTCGAAGTCCTATAACTTTTGTTCCTATTGAACCAGCTTCCTGAAAAAATAGCGTCCGTCCTTAATGTCCAAAGAACCCGTACACCAAATTTCAACTCAATCGGCCACTTTTAAAAAGAGTTAGAGCGCACACGGACGGACGGACGGACGGACGGCAATACAAAACTATAAAGGATCTGAGGATCCTTAATAATAAATTTAGAAAATCCTTTTGTTTAATTAAAAAATGAATTGCTTGATTGAGGGTAACAGTTCGGAAAACCACACGGAGGGAAAATCCGTATAGGAAACGTATTCAGACCAAAGAAAAAACTATCAATTTCATATATAAAATACAGGAAGGCACCAAAGTAGAGTCTCTCATAAAAGAAGGTTGCTTTTGGAGTAGTTTAGAAACAATTTTGATCCCTGACATATAATGTTCTTTAAGAGAAGTTAGTACAGACACTCCAAAAATATATCAAACAGGTTTTTGACAAATTCTTGGAGCTTTGTATGGTAGAAAGTTTAGTACAAGAAATGGTCGAATAATGGATAGTGCTCTGAGGCTGCCTAATAAAGGATGTTCTTGGAATATTATGAGAAACTTTCGAATTTCCACTCCTTCAAGGAAATTTAGCAAACGAGTTTTACAAAAATATCATTTTAAAAGTATATAGCTCTTTTATTATCGTTTCCTTGCTTTAGACATTTTTCAACTCAATTGAGAGTCTTTAAGTGAATTAAGCGTAAGAACGTATTAAGAGATTTTATTAGCGCTAATAATAGTGCTTAGCTTTGGGGGCCATTCGAAACAACGACAATTACCAGCTCCGACTAACACATCTCCAATAGCAGGACCTCTCGATTGTTAAAATTCTGAGCCATTGTAATAAATGCTATTCCTTACGAAATCGCTTCTCCTTAACTTCTTACATTAATTTATATCGTTCAGGAAGGCCTGCTTTCTCCAAGTCAATTCCTATTTTGAGGACCTAATGAACATAGAAGGGAATGGATGTAGATTGCTGTTATCTTCTGTAACCACTGTGAGAGGTCAGTCAGTTATGGTTGTAGCAACGCTGGCCAGACAAGTTCTCATCTGATCATAATCCAGCTTTGATCTTCCTATTATCCTCTTGAGGAATGAGGAGGTCCTTCCCCAAGCGAATTGATCTTTCCCAATAACCTCCAGACCAAGGTGATGCAGGTGAGATAAAGTTCCTCTGTATCTGTCGAATGTCGCATTTTTTTCTCACTTATTCCCAGTCGAGAGCATTAAACAAATTTGCCGCTCTTACGAAATTTGTTCCATTGTCTGAGAAAATTGTATTGGGCCTTCATACCTGTAAATAAACCTTTACAAGGCTTCCACAAATGGAAGTGATCCCAATGTACACAACGATAAACTGCACAGGTGAACAATACAACCAGGTTTTTTCCTCCTTCAAATAAATGGGCCCTGCAAGATCCACTCCAGTAGTAAATGGGTCCCCGTCCGATATCCTTTCTTTTGGTAAGGGAACTGGATCCACTTTTGGGGGTTTATCACTGTGACGAAAGACATGTTTTGCGGTCACTTTTGACACCGCCCTCTTGGAGTCAAACTATTTTCTGCCTTATATTCAAAGATCGTTTCTTTCGCTTTCCAACATTTGACAAAGTCGTGATTTTTATCATAAAAAATGCAAAAATCCTTCCCCATCACACTTGATAACGGAAGCTGTGGCCTGTCAGTGGGAGCCTTGAATATTGCTTTTACTCTGGCGGTCTCCCCTCCTACCATTACATTTTGATTGTTGTTGTACGTGTATATTTTGTCCTTCCAAAGGGATGTTTTTTAGCTAAAGAATATTAGTAGTCTCACTACGCTTGGTGTTCCAAAAGAAATAATGGATGTATAGATCTACAACAAGTTAGTCTATCTCAAAGTTTAGTACGAAAACAAATTATTGACGTGATACAAATTATTCTTGTTTAAATAAATCTAACTTTAAGGACTTTTGGTATGGTAACTTGGAAAATGTTATAATCAAATTTTATGAGGTATAATTTTCAAAACATCCAGCTTTATTTTAACGGGCTAACATTCCAAACACTGACACCCCGAGCTTGAAATTCTACCCTTGGAGTAAAGGTATATACCGCAGTTAAAAGGGCTATAAAGCACATAATTGGCGGAAAAACATGGGCGACGAAGTTTTCATTGTTTAAAACTTTATTGGCACACACTCACGCGCATTAAATAAACACGGGGCGTACGAGAATTAAGTTTAAGACGAGATATAGTTTCTGTAATTAAATACCAAAAACTCTTAGCATTTCGGCGGCGGCGGCGCTTGGAATTCGTCCAATTCCCGAATTTGTAGAAATTTTAAAAATATTTCACGGCTCCTCTCGAAGTAATTTATTTGTGTATCAAGGCGAACAGCTTCTCTCCATAATTGTTTTATTTTTCGAACGGTAATGTTATCCCCATCGGTTTTCGGGCGGCGCTTAAATTAGAAACTGGGGAAGCCGGGAGTTTACCGAATAAATTGTTCCGGGCGCAATATAAAATAAATTGGCCAAAGTCCTTCGCAACAAAAGAAAAGTGCCGCCAAAGGATAAGAGTTTTGGATTAAGATCTTTTAGTCCGGGAAAAAAGTAAAAACATTCGTACAAGTTAATTAAGTTAACTAGAAAATCTCTCCAAGGTAGAGGTTGGTGTCGACGCGTTTTAATTAAAGCAGTTGGGGGTAGAAGAGAAAAATTTGTTTTCACTTATGGGGATGCGATAAAATTTGATCCACGTTCAATCTTCTTAAGCACTGCGGCGATCGTCCGTCACAATTACAAAGCTCTTTACGGCCAAGACCTCGAGGGTGATTTACTGTGTGGCTATTTGCGATACTCAATGGATGTGTGAGGGTGAAATAATTATCGCAATCACGTGCGCCGATTCCCAGAGATTTTCATCAGTAACGCCATTGTGCGACAATTTCAATTATAAAATGCGCATTTCGAGCGTGATTAATAATAAGGCGAAGCGGGAAACAATTGCTCTTGTTCGATTAGCAAACGACATTCAAAAATTCGCGCAGCAACTCTAATTAGAAAAATGTTTGTGTAGAATGAAGAGATTAAACTGGGGAGTTCTGCTGGATACGGGAAGTTCGAGTGACATTTGTTCCCAGTCTGAATTATTTAGCCCCAACAAAGGCCGGTCTCTACGAACAATAGTCGGTCGGTTCGGTACCGTTCACATTTAAAACTTACTGGAGAAGCTGCTCATATTGCGAGACCAATATTTATCTCTCGGTTCGGTTGATTTATTCGTGGCCGGTTCGCTCGTTAGTTCTCGTTATCATCTATTTCCATTATAATTACACTTCTCTCCACATTAATCCTTTTTTTTTTGGAAATTGCGCTGTAACACAAAGAACTAGAACGAAGCGTAACGTGTAATTATTTCTCTGTGGAGAGAATCAATAAATTAAACCCCTGGATTTTTGTCACGCAAACTTTTATAGTGGATAGTTTTCACATTTTAATAAAACATAATTTTTTTTAACGCAATTTTCCTGCTCTAAAAATTATCGGGATTTTTTCACGACTGATACTGGCGTTTCGCCAGCTCCTTAGAAGTTTAATCCACGATCAGGGTTTATTATCTGACCACATATTAAAACACACCCGAACGAATTTGTGAGAAATAACCTTTCGTCCCTATGTGTCATATTATAGTTTGCTGACCCCTTACACCAATACGCTAAAAACTAAAGTAATTGTTTAGATTAACATAAGAGCGAACGATGGAGGAGGACATAAAACCAAATGACGAGAAGCTGTATACTATAAGCAGAAAAATCCCATACTCAGCAAAAAATTTATAGATACGCCGCGCGGCACCTACAACATTTTATGACTATTTTTATACGTACTGTGTAGAATGGATAAAAAGTATCTATTTTTGCTACCAGTTTCCAGATTACTTTAGCGCTTGAAAAAAAAAGAACGCTTCAACTGCAAATTGCTTGTCTATGCAATATTGCTTCGAGCAAATAAGAAATTAATGCCATTGAGACTTTGCAAATCGCCACTTTAAAGTGATGCAATGTGCTCAAAAAAACCTTTAATGAGAACAGAGCTGGGCAGAATACTTTCAAAAAGTATTTGAATACTAAATAGTAAATATTTTACACAAATCAAAGGTATTTGAAAACTAAATACTTTTACGTCCAGCACAA